GAAACTGTGCTGTAACTGTTAACCCTCATATTTCTCTCTGGATAAAGAACTTTGTAACCAACCGTCTACAATATGTGCGAGTCAATTCTACATACTCTAAAACACGTATCTTAAACACAGGAGCTCCGCAGGGATGTGTGCTTTCCCCAGTCCTATTTACATTGTATACTAATGACTGCAGAAGTGATGTAAATTAACCCTAACTGTAAAATGTGCCCATGATGCCGCATTAGTTGGATTAGTAAGTAACAACGATGATTCACATTACCACCACACAATAGGACAGTTCCGTAATTGTGTCATGACAACTTCCTAGTTCTTAATACGAAGAAAACAAAGGAAATGATTATATACTTTAGAATGAAGAGACTTACGTATAGAGCTGTTATGACTGATAATTGCAGCAAGTTGTCACAGAATACAAATATATCGGCACCATCATTGACGAAAAAGCTCAGTTTTACTGCGAACACCGACAGAATCGACATAAAATGCCAACAAAGCTATTTAAGACTGTACTTTTATGGAAACGCAACTGTTTTAATGTCAATTATTTCACACTTGTTTTCTATTACAAAACTTTTATTCAAAGCATTCTTTGTTTTCGCATACAAAGATGGTTAGGGTCCCTTTCACCACAAAATAAAAACAAATTGTCCAAAATCAAAAATCAAACCAGCATATTATCAAGAGTCTGTTTGGAAAATCTAACTCTTTTAGGCACGCGGCATGTTGAAAAACTAGCTTTAAAAATTGCTTCCGACTCCGAGCATTTTCTTGATAACTTGATATAAACTTCTACCTTCCGGACGCCGCTTCCAAACTCCACTTTGCAGAACTAACAGGGCATCAAAATCATTTAGTCCAACCAGCATCGCTAATTTAAACCAGTATATTTACACTAAACTTTTATCGGTTTTATTCTCATACGTCAACCTCACATCTTACGCCCCGTGGATTTATTATTATCTTTTATATTTTAAATTTGTAGCTTCTGCATCAGGTATTTACCTCAATGTTATTTATTCATTCTTCTTTCTTAACCTGTTTTGGGTGCTAATTTTTATTCTTTAATGTAAGTTATACATCACTTGACGTAATATTCCTTTACCCAAAAGTACATTTTTTATACCAGTTATCATTGCTCTGATGTGGTTGAATGTATTACTTGTTATGTGTGTCAAACCTTAGTCCCCTTGTTTAAATACTGTGTTGTTATGTGTCACGTCATAGTCCCCTTGTGTAAATACTGTGTTGTTATGTGTCACGTCATAGTCCCCTTGTGTAAATACTGTGTTGTTATGTGTCACGTCATAGTCCCCTTGTGTAAATACTGTGTTGTTTTGGTGATTCTCATACTGTTACATGTACTATTTATTGCTCTATATATCACAGCAGCTGATGTACAACAAATTCCCTTTGGGGCGAATAAAGTATTATTATTACCTTCACGTAATGTTCAAGGTCACAGCGACACTTTGAAGATTTCAGCATGTTAACGTGCATGTTAAGATTGTCAGCAAGATATCTCAAGAACGGTTCACTGGATTTTCTTCATAGACTTTCTCTTGAATGTTTTTTGATAAGCTATTTCTTTGTTACTACATGACATTCATGTCAAGGTCAAAGTGAGTCTTGGAAATATTTGTGTGTTTGAACAGCTACAGAGCAAGATATCAAGGGAGGTTGACTGGTCATGTTTTTGTTGACATTTAACTTCTTAAACTACTTTTTCGACCTTCACTTTCATTACTTTTTAAGGTTGATTTGATAATTTGCGGCGGGGGATTATGTCACCTTAGGGACAATTACTTTTATTATTGTGATGAGTTTTGAACTTGGGTCTATGGCCTTTATACTGAATACACTTTGAATATTGAATTTCGCTTGATTGATGTCGGCGAGTAATAAACAGAATACTAACCTCCTTTCCGTGTAATACCACGCTCGTTTAATACCAAATCACTAACTCGTTTAAAAATATGGCATTACTCGGAATAATTACACTTTTCCTTTACTGTCGATATTTTACATTTAATTACAACGGAAGGTCGTTTGGTATCCTCTATACACTACATTTTTCTTTTACTGTTGATATTTTACATTTAATTACAAAGATTTTATTGGTGAAATGTTACCGAAATTGGCTAGGCACAATACAGTGACACTGCGCGGGTGTGCATCCATCCTTGACGTTAAACGAAGGCATTGTCGTCTCATGGAGGTACCCATTGTCTGCACGACAGCATCTTGTTGTAGTGGGCGCTGCTGATAGTCATAACCGACGCACACCATTTATCGTCCAACACTATTGAATCGTTACTATATAAATATTGGACATAATAGACCCCTTTTATTTTGTTTTTAATATCTGAAAGTCATTTTATCGCATATTATTGTTTTATTGATAAATAATGTGTCTCATAGGCCTTATGGCCGACATCTGTATTTTATGTACATTTTAAATTGTATTATACAGATGTGTGACACAAAATAAACTATTTTCTCTCTATATAAATATTGGACATAGTCGTGTTTGGCAGTCGGCACCGGACCTTTGTCCAGACAGATATTCCATCGGATCTGCCGCCATAAAACTGTAATATTGCTGAGTGCCGCCTTAAACTAAACTTATTCACTTACTCCACATCGGATCTGTTTCTATCGCAAGAGTCGGGATGATATTTGAAGTGATCTGCGTTAGTTGTATTGCCATGTACATCTACAGTGGATTCCGACGAACAAAGAAGTCCTCGCCAAAGCTGTACTATGGCAAATCCGATCTCCATGAGTACATTCTAAATAACGTACCACGACTGAAAAAAACATATACCCCATCTTGGGGTCTGTGGAACAGACACGTGCATACAATTATATGTTGCTTTGATCCCTTGCCTCCTAACTACAAGAGGGAAAATATACTTTTACCAGACGGTGGTCTCGTCTCTCTGGACTGGTTGGACAATGAAGCGGGTCTTACGGACACAAGTCCCGTGTTGGTCGTAATTCCTGGAGTAGGAGGAGGAAAAGAGGGTATCAACAAAGTTTGTAAGCTTGCCGCTGGGAAATTTAGAGTAGCAGTATTCAACAGGCGCGGCCATAGTGGTACTTTACTCACAACACCGCGCCTCCAGTGTTTCGGGGAAACAAGTGACTTTCGACGGTGTGTGGAGTCTATTCACCGGAAGTACCCCAAGGCTGCCATGGCTGGCGTTGCTTACTCCGCAGGTACGGGGATACTTAGTAAGTATTTGGGAGAGTACGCAGGGAGGTCGTATATCGGGCCCTCTGTATTCGTCGGGTCGGGATTCGATCTATCGAAACTTGAGAGCATGAACACCATCTATGAGAAACTGATACTGTATTTGTTGAAAACCTCTTTGGTTAAACCGAACGAACGTATGCTAAGTCAGCTGTGGATATCGACGCTGTTTACAAGTCAAAGTCCATTGAAGAACTGGAGGACCACCTTTACTGCAAAATGCATGGATTCAAAGATGTTGACGAAATGTGGCTCCACAACGACCCAATGCTTAACGCTGATGCAGTTGTTGCCCCCGTGCTGTGTATTAATAGTATGGACGATCCAATCTGTGTTGCGGGTAACATACCTTATGATCATTTCAAGCGGCCCAACTGGATGTTGGCGACGACAGAACAAGGAGGTCACTGTGGATTCCTGGAGAACTACAAGCTTGAGTCCTGGGCAGGGAAACTGGCTTTGGATTATATCGGTGCTGTGTTGGACTATAACAACACTATGAAAGAGGACATCACCCTTGAGTGTTGAAACACCTTTGAGGGTTGAAACATCAATGGCAAAGCCTTCTTACGCACCTCTTGATGTAAAACCCATCTCAGGTAACTGCTATTACACGCGGGTAAGATCGAATTCCAGGTCCGTGACTGGCAACTCGAGGCTTATAAGTTTTGTTTGTCAGATTACAACGTATTTCTTTAATTGATAAGCAATTCATGTATAAGCTACTGCTTCTCGGTCGAATTCACTTAGGTCTGTGTCGCAACGTTCTCGTTTTAGGGTGTTAAATTGATGTTCTATTCTTGTCTATTTGTATTGTCAAGACTGACTTTTTATCCATTTAATTCATGTACGTTTGTGCAGTAAAACACGGTAAGCAAGTGTGACGGCCCTCTTCACTGACGTCACGTTCAATTCTTTAATGATGTCACAGACGACGAAATACAGAAACAATGGTTGCTAGGCTAAAGTCATATGTGCACATGTGCACATATGATATATGACACTGGTTATGTTTCACCATATGGGTAATAAGTATTCATACGCGTGACCTAGCTTGAGTCCTTGAAAATGTCATCACACTGTTAGGACATTATTGTTGTGATGAGTTTTGTACTTGGGCCTGTGGTCTTTATACTGAATAAACTTTGAATATTGATTTTCGCTTGATTAATTTTGGCCAGTAAGATACAGAATACTAACCTCCTTCCCGTGTAATACCATATTTATTAAATTACATTTTTCTTTACTGTCGATGTTTTACATTTAATTACAACGGAAGGTCGTTTGGTATCCTCTATAAATTACATTTTTCTTTTACTGTCGATATTTTACACTTAATTACAAAGTATGTATTGGTAAATTGTTACTGAAATTGGCTAGGCACAATACAGCAACACTGCGCGGGCGTGCATCCATCCTTGACGTTCAACGAAGGCATTGTTGTTTCATAGAGGTACCCATTGTCTGCATGACAGCATGTTGCTGTAGTAGGCGCTGCTGATAGTCATAACCGACGCACACCATTTATCGTCCAATCAGTACAGACGCCAACACTATTGTATCGTTAGTACATAAATATTGGACATAGTCGTGTTGGGCAGTCGGCATCGGACTTTTGTCAAGACAGATATTCCACGTCGGATCTGCCGCCATATAACTGGAATATTGCTGAGTGCGGCGTAAAACTAAACTCATTCACTTACTCCACATCGGATCTGTTTCGATCGCAAGAGTCGTCATGATATGTGTAGCGATCTGCGTTAGTTGTATTGCCATATACATCTACAGTGGATTCCGACGAACAAAGAAGTCCTCGCCAAAGCTGTACTATGGCAAATCCGATCTCCATGAGTACATTCTAAATAACGTACCACGACTGAAAGAACCATATACCCCACCTTGGGGTCTGTGGAACAGACACGTGCATACAATTATATGTTGCTTTGATCCCTTGCCTCCTAACTACAAGAGGGAAAATATACTTTTACCAGACGGTGGTCTCGTCTCTCTGGACTGGTTGGACAATGAAGCGGGTCTTACGGACACAAGTCCTGTGTTGGTCGTAATTCCTGGAGTAGGGGGAGGAAAAGAGGGCATCAGCACAGTTTATAAGCTTGCAACAGGGAAATTTAGAGTAGCAGTATTCAACAGGCGCGGCCATTGTGGTACTTTACTCACAACACCGCGCCTCCAGTGTTTCGGGGAAACAAGTGACTTTCGACAGTGTGTTGAGTCTATTCACCAGAAGTACCCCAAGGCTGCCATGGCTGGCGTTGCTTACTCCGCAGGTACGGGGATACTTAGTAAGTATTTGGGAGAGTACGCTGGGAGGTCGTATATCGGGCCCTCTGTATTCGTCGGGTCGGGATTCGATCTATCGACACTTAAGAGCATGAACACCATCTATGAGAAACTGATACTGTATTTGTTGAAAACCTCTTTGGTTAAACCGAACGAACGTATGCTGAAGTCAGCTGTGGATATCGACGCTGTTTACAAGTCAAAGTCCATTGAAGAACTGGAGGACCACCTTTACTGCAAAATGCATGGATTCAAAGATGTTGACGAAATGTGGCTCCACAACGACCCAATGCTTAACGCTGATGCAGTTGTTGCCCCCGTGCTGTGTATTAATAGTATGGACGATCCAATCTGTGTTGCGGGTAACATACCTTATGATCATTTCCAGCGGCCCAACTGGATGTTGGCGACGACAGAACAAGGAGGTCACTGTGGATTCCTGGAGAACTACAAGCTTGAGTCCTGGGCAGGGAAACTGGCTTTGGATTATATCGGTGCTGTGTTGGACTATAACAACACTATGGAAGAGAAGGACATCACCCTTGAGTGTTGAAAGATCAAATGGCAAAGCCTTCTTACGTACCTCTTGATGTAAAACCCATCTCAGGTAACTGCTATTACACGCGGGTAAGATCGAATTCCAGGTCCGTGACTGGCAACTCGAGGCTTATAAGTTTTGTTTGTCAGATTACAACGTATTTCTTTAATTGATAAGCAATTCATGTATAAGCTACTGCTTCTCGGTCGAATTCACTTAGGTCTGTGTCGCAACGTTCTAGTTTTAGGGTGTTAAATTGATGTTCTATTCTTGTCTATTTGTATTGTCAAGACTGACTTTTTATCCATTTAATTCATGTACGTTTGTGCAGTAAAACACGGTAAGCAAGTGTGACGGCCCTCTTTATTGACGTCACGTTCAATTCTTTAATGATGTCACAGACGACGAAATACAGAAACAATGGTTGCTAGGCTAAAGTCATATGTGCACATGTGCACATATGATATATGACACTGGTTATGTTTCACCATATGGGTAATAAGTATTCATACGCGTGACCTAGCTTGACTCGCTGCAAATGTCATCACACTGTTAGGACATTATTGTTGTGATGAGTTTTGTACTTGGGCCTGTGTTCCTTATACTGAATAAACTTTGAATATTGATTTTCGCTTGATTAATTTTGGCCAGTAAGATACAGAATACTAACCTCCTTCCCGTGTAATACCATATTTATTCAATTACATTTCTCTTTACTGTCGATGTTTTACATTTAATTACAACGGAAGGTCGTTTGGTATCCTCTATACATTACATTTTTATTTTTCTGTCGATATTTTACACTTAATTGCAAAGTATGTATTGGTAAATTGTTACTGAAATTGGCTAGGCACAATACAGCAACACTGCGCGGGCGTGCATCCATCCTTGACGTTAAAGGAAGGCATTGTTGTTTCATGGAGGTATCCATTCTCTGCATGACAGCATGTTGCTGTAGTAGGCGCTGCTGATAGTCATAAGCGACGCACACCATTTATCGTCCAATTAGTACAGACGCCAACACTATTGTATCGATAGTATATAAATATTGGACATAGTCGTGTTGGGCAGTCGGCATCGGACTTTTGTCAAGACAGATATTCCACGTCGGATCTGCCGCCATATAACTGGAATATTACTGAGTGCGGCGAAAAACTAAACTCATTCACTTACTCCACATCGGATCTGTTTCGATCGCAAGAGTCGTCATGATATGTGTAGTGATCTGCGTCAGCTGCATTGCCATGTTCATCTACAGTGGATTCCGACGAACGAAGAAGTCCTCGCCAAAGCTGTTCTATGGCAAATCCGATCTCCATGAGTACATTCTAAATAACGTACCACGACTGAAAGAACCATATACCCCACCTTGGGGTCTGTGGAACAGACACGTGCATACAATTATTTGTTGCTTTGATCCCTTGCCTCCTAACTACAAGAGGGAAAATATACTTTTACCAGACGGTGGTCTCGTCTCTCTGGACTGGTTGGACAATGAAGCGGGTCTTACGGACACAAGTCCCGTGTTGGTCGTAATTCCTGGAGTAGGGGGAGGAAAAGAGGGTATCCGCACAGTTTGTAAGCTTGCGACAGGGAAATTTAGAGTAGCAGTATTCAACAGGCGCGGCCATTGTGGTACTTTACTCACAACACCGCGCCTCCAGTGTTTCGGGGAAACAAGTGACTTTCGACAGTGTGTGGAGTATATTCACCGGAAGTACCCCAAGGCTGCCATGGCTGGCGTTGCTTACTCCGCAGGTACGGGGATACTTAGTAAGTATTTGGGAGAGTACGCTGGGAGGTCGTATATCGGGCCCTCTGTATTCGTCGGGTCTGGATTCGATCTATCGAAACTTGAGAGCATGAACACCATCTATGAGAAACTGATACTGTATTTGTTGAAAACCTCTTTGGTTAAACCGAACGAACGTATGCTGAAGTCAGCTGTGGATATCGACGCTGTTTACAAATCAAAGTCCATTGAAGAACTGGAGGACCACCTTTACTGCAAAATGCATGGATACAAAGACGTTGACGAAATGTGGCTCCACAACGACCCAATGCTCAATGCTGATACAGTTGTTGCCCCAGTGCTGTGTATTAATAGTATGGACGATCCAATCTGTGTTGACGGTAACATACCCTATCATCATTTCCAGCGGCCCAACTGGATGTTGGCGACGACAGAACAAGGAGGTCACTGTGGATTCCTGGAGAACTACAAGCTTGAGTCCTGGGCAGGGAAACTGGCTTTGGATTATATCGGTGCTGTGTTGGACTATAACAACACTATGGAAGAGAAGGACATCACCCTTGAGTGTTGAAAGATCAAATGGCAAAGCCTTCTTACATGCCTCTTGATGTAAAACCCACTTCAGGTAACTGCTATTACACGTATTGTCATCACTGACTTTTTATCCATTATATTCATGTACGTTTGTGCAGTAAAACACGGTAAGCAAGTGTGACAGCCATCTTCATTGACCTCACCTTCTACCGATTCGAGAGTGTTACATTTGGCGATGGTATAAGACGATGCAATAAGACGTCACAAATGACCGTTGTGTTTATACATACATAAAAATTCTGTGATCATGAGAAACACAGAAAATATGCATAAAACCATGACAACACTACGTCATCAGAGACATGGGCAAAGCCGGTTCCCTCTGCAAGGTTGACTTCATATTTGTTGTTGTTTTCTTTATGAAACTGAGAGTAATAAATATATTGAATTATCTTCTCGAAAACTGGAACTACAGATTGTTTGTCCCAGTGTCCGTTGTGGAAAAATGATTTGAAAGTATTATGTCGCTGGGCAGATGATGCATAACTCCTCGTAGCTCAAAAGCATTACTGGGAAACTCAGAGAGTGAAACGATTCTCAGTGGCATATCGCACTGTTTGACAGGCATTCTTGAAGTTGTAAGCAATAGGAATGACAAGTCTTTATGGATGATCAACTTTTATACTGTACAATAGCGACGTTTGGGTATAGATGTTTATACCGTTTCTAAGCATGGATGTTGATCACCCCAAAAGACTTATCATTCCTGTGGCATATCGCGACTGATTATTGCCTGGCTTTATGTTCAATATTTACCTGAACTGGGTAGATGTCGCTGCTGATGGATGGAAGTACCCAAATTTCCCTGAGGACAGTATCATTTATCAGTTATTGTAGTCATTCCAATCTCTTATTTCCGAGTACATTATAGACAAAGTACCCCCGGCTAAGAGAAAATTAAACCCCTATCTTGGGGTCCGAGGAACAGACACGTACATGCATTTGTTCCTTGCTTGGATAAGAGGGAATTATGCTGACTCAGCAATACAAAAAAATTGTTTCTTCACCGACAAGCACACGCACATATTTCATTAGTTATTCTTTCCTTGTCAGCTGCAGAATCTCTGCTCTTGTACCCAATAGACGTAATTCAAAATTAACAGAACAGTTTTGGTTTCAATAAAAGCAGTACACGTGCTGTGGTGTCCCTGCTCCGCCACTTCTGAGCTGTCCAGTCTAGACTTGGTGGACCCATGGCGGGCGTACGGCTGTGATGCGTAAAACTAACATTTCCCCTTTTACGCAAACAAGTGACGGGAGTTACCGACTGAACAGGAAATGCTTCCCTTCTTGCGAACACCTGGTGCTATCTCTGAATTTCTGTGATTCTTACATAGCATGTTCATCACTGTTAATTACTAATGATTAGACAATGAGTACTGTTCACTTTCATGACCACTGTGACTAAAGAGCTGGTATGCTTGTATGCATGTATGTTTTCGATATGGATTGCTTGTTGTATGTAACATGTATCTCTTGGAAATAAAAACACAAAAAAATTTTTTTTTAAATAATGTTCATCACTGTTTCGCATTTAAAACCCTAATGGAATATATCTCTTCAGGTAAATGCTATTACCGGAAAAAGACAAATGTAGAATTTAGAAGAGGTATCACACCTACATATGTTGACTGGTGGAGAAGGCACGGATAGCCAAGAGGTTAAAGCGACGCAATACGATTATGATTCCCGATCCTTGGAGTCCTGTTTTCCAACCATAGATTCTTCCCTTAATGCCCTTAATCTGTTATTAGTGTCGACAACGTTTATAAACTCCCCCATTTGGAGCTTCTTCCAACATGTAGCTGACCCGCCAAGGTCTACCTCAAATATGTTCAAATCGGCTTTAAACACAATTTGCTGCTGAATTTACAGCTGAAATGTTTACAAAAACCTTTGAAATTAAACGAAAATGAAAAGAAATCGGTATTTGCAATAATAAGTACTACAAATTTATATAAATTACTTGAATAATTATTTCTATGAAATATATAATTTTGGTGCATCAAAAAGAACATTTGTCACATTGGCTGTAGACCAGCAAACTCTCTCCCTATATCTATTTTTTGTTCACTGTCCGTACATTTTTTGAAAATATTATTATTGACAATATTATTTCATCGCAATCAATGGTGTCGAGTTGCTCGTCACAATGGCAAATGTAGTGAGTAAATATCTCCACTTTAATGTCTAATTGCTTTTGGCAGACAGTCACCGAGTCTGGCCAATCATGTATGGATTTTTCCCCGAATCGTCAGTTTTTGCGGACGTGTGTTGGAAGTTAATTACATTTTGGCAATAATGGCATGAGGTATAAGTTTGAACAGGATATTTGAACTTAATTTGGTGTATGATTGCTTACTGTCAACATAATAGGGTTCATTTTGGATCATAGAAAATAAGTAACATTCACCTTCAATTGCAGATGTCATGTGTGCCAAGTGTGTGATCGCTTGAACAGCTACTGCCTTGGTTAGTTATATATTGCATTGTTTGAGGATGATAAAACTTATCCTCCATACGTCCGCATTCACTCGCGTATATCCACGTTGGCATTTACCTGTGTTTTTCCAGGTCTTTATTTATTTTAAATTACATTTTATTAAAAAGAGTGTGTTTCAGCGTACGTCAGCGAGCGTGTGACTACCTGTTGTACATGACGGTAAATCGACAGGTACCATTGTGGCTTGTTTGTTTGTTGTTTATCGCCGCACTCAGCAACATTCCAGCTGATGGCGATCTGTGAATAATCGAGTCTGGACCAGACATTCCAGTGATTGACATAATGAGCATCGATATACACAATTCGGATACCACAACATGTGTCAAGCAAATCAACGATATGACCATCCGATCCCGTTAGTCGCCTCTTAAATAATACCAGTGGCAGCAGACCCGAAACTTCTGATGGACGTCTGCGTTAACCTCTCTCCTCTTCCCGGTGCAAACTCTTCCGGCGTTGGGCCAATTGGCCCTAAAATTTCTGGCCCAAACTCTTCTTCCTCTTCAGTTTCAGATCTTTCCGAAAATCCTGTTTCCATTTTGTTCAATTCTATTTATGAGAAAATCTGTAATTTACCTTTCGAGAAACGGAGGCCAATTAAACAACTAAATGTGTCTTTTCCCAAAAATGAAATTGATTTAATAAATGAGGCTATTTCCCTAAAACTTTCTGCGGACTGTTCGTTACATGAAGTGAATTGTTGTGTCTATGCTGCCGCTCGAACTTTGGAGGAATTTCACACAGTTTCAAAAGGAAAAACATCTAATGAAAACAGCAAAAGACCAAGGAAAAACCGGTTTCTTGTAAAACTTACTGAAACAAGAAGAAATATTTCCGGGATTGAGCTGTGCATTAAAATAAGATCATCGGGGAATCGTATGTCTAAAAGGCAAAAGGCAATTTGGAAGAAATTAAAATTACAATACAAGACAACGAAAGAATAGGTACTTCTCCAAATTGTCGAGTTCCTTAGAGCAAAATTAAAGGTTTGGACAGAAAGAAATGAAAAAATGGGAAAAGAAGAACAAATTCATCAAACAAAATAAACTTTTTAGAAATAATGAAAAACACTTCTACAGGCAATTTAAAACAAACTATGATGGTGAGGATGATAAGCGGCCTCCCATGGATGCCAATGAAAGGTTCTGGAAACAGTTGTGGTCTGTACCCGGCAACTGTAACCTGGAGGCACCATGGGTCAGTGATTATGACCATACAATGCATGAGAAGGTAACTAGGTCGTTTGTCTGCTACATCTCACCAGATTGCCTGAAAAGTGTTATCAAAAAATCCAAATCTATTACAGCGCCAGGGCCCGATGGCATTCAAAACCTGTACTGGAAACTCTTCCCCTGAGTACAAACACCATTACTTCACTGTTTCAGTTCTCTCGTGGACACAGGTGATGTTCCTCCATGGTTCTGCAAAGGTCGCACAATACTCCTTCCCAAGAAAGGAGACTTGACCGATCCCAAAACTTCCGCCCTATCACATGTTTGAATACTCAGTATAAAATATTCACAGGGTGTTTGACAAACCTCGTGTCATCCTAGTGCTCTTCCAATGATATAATTGATAGAGAGCAGAAGGGAGCGAGAAAGGGATGTTGGGGGTGCAAGGATCAACTTCTTGTACAGAAAATGATTTTGGAAGAGGCTAAAACATATCACCAAAACCTCCATGTGCTGGATTGACTACAAAAAAGCATACGACTCTGTCCCTCATGAATGGATTCTGAAGTCTCTCCGTTGTATTGACCTCCCGGAGCGACTACTTGATTTACTCAAGTCTTTAATGAGTTGCTGGTCGACTCAACTTGAGATGTACTCGCAATCAGAAGGGGAATTTTCCAGGGGGACTCCTTCAGTCCTTTGCTTTTTTTTCTCTCTAAATCCTTTGAGCTTTCTGCTCAACAGAGAGGAGGGTTACCATCCCGGACCTCCTCAGCACAGATCCCCAACACCGCTTACTCATCTCCTTTACACGGATGACATCGAGCTCCTTGCCAAAGGAGATACCAATTTGAAAGAACAGGTTCTCCTTGTCGAGTCCTTTTCTAATGATATTGGCATGACATTTGGACTCGACAAATGTAATACTCTTCATTTGAAACGTGGCAAGGTAGTTAATGGTGGTTCGGTCAAGTTAGAAGGGGGAGGAGTTATTGAGCATCTTGTGGAAGATCAGGCCTACACTTATCTTGGAATGCAAGTTCGAGACAAGTTCCAGAATGCCAAAATTCAAGACAAACTTCGGGCCGAGTACAAATCTCGCTTCAAGAAAATCTGGAGCTCAGAGCTAAATGCTCGAAACAATATCAAAGCCACCAGTTCTTTTGATGTGCCAGTCCTTTCATATGCCTTTGGAGTAGTTGATTGGACAAAAAAGACATCCAGAGTCTTGACCGCCTGACCAGAAGGATCATGTCTGATAACAGAGCCCACCTCCCTCGTTCCTCTCTCAACCGTTTATATATGCCAATCAATTTTTGAGGTCGGGGTTTGATTAATGTGGAGGCTCTTCATGATAGAATTTTAGTGTGTACTTTTGCACATATTTATTTATCGGATGATCCTCTAGTGGAATTCCACAGCTATTGTAAGCATGCCAAGGTTGTTGGGCAGAATCTGAAATTTGAGGTTGATTTTGTTGATGGCGGTGTGCTGTTGGACGGTGCAGCGATGGGAGTAAACCAGGTGAAGTCCTTCACCAAGTCTGCCCAGAGTCGGTCTTTTGTGGAGAAGCTTTCTGAGAAGCCATTGCATCGTGTGTACATGCAGTGTGTGGAACAGAATAGCAATCCCCCGACTCCTTCGCCTGGATGAAGTCGGCTGGTCTTAAATGTGAAACTGAGGGCTTCATTTTTGCTGCTGAGGACAAGTCACTTCCCACTCGTAATCGCGAAAATGTGATTCTTAAAGAAAGTATCAATATGAAATGTCGACTTTGCAATGAATTCACAGAGACTGTCCAACACCTTGTCAGTGGATGCTCGTCCTTGACACAAACAACATATCTTAAACGACATGATGGCATGGCTCGGTGCTTATACTACCGTCTCTGCCATGTCTGTGGCTTTGACTCTGAGGTCCATCCATGGTACGACCCTGAACATGTCCTGGGCGTCATGGAAAATGAAGCTTTCAAACTTCTGTGGAAGAGGCCCATATACAGCCTCAGAAGAATTCCAGCCAACAAACCCGATCTTGTCCTTTTTGATAAAGCCAATGAATTTATTTATATCATTGAACATATATCCCTTTTGACAACAACGTGATTGGCAAGATTCAGGAAAAGCATGATATGTATGCGGACCTCGCCTTTGAAATGTCTCGCTTGCATCCCAAGTACACTGTCGTCAGGCTCCCCATTGTTCTCGGTGCCCTTGGTTTGGTACCTCATGACCACTTGGCGCAGATCAGGAGAGTGCCCGGGTTCTCCACCGGGAGCACAGCCCTTCTGACACTCTGGGCAATGCAGGAGGCTGCAGTGTTGGGTAGCCTTCATATTCTCCGGAAAGTTCTTGGTGGGTTCGACTAGGCAGTGTTTCCTGGGAGTCCCATTCGCTGTCTGGGCTGCGTGTAGAGGGGGCAAGGGCCCTGAGCTGATGATGAGCCTTACCAGCCTAACTGTGCCAGGATCACCCGAACCCTCTCTGCTGCAGTTTCATCTTTAATCTGTAAAACATAGTAATAATAATAATAATTTTTGCGCCTAGAATCCAACACGACGCTGTTCTCTGGCGTTACACTATTACCCTGACGGAATTGTACTTTCAAAGATGCTACTAAGCGCTTCGCGCGACCGTATAGGTCCGTCCATCCGCTTTCCAGGTACCCATTTTGGACAGCTGGGTGGACTGAGTGCAATGTGCACGAAGTGCTTTGCCCAGGGACACAACACAGTACGAGACCCAGGTCACAAATTTTGGTGTCTCCACCGGGATTCGAACCCGGCCTTTGACGTGAGAGGCCAGCATGCTAACCACTACACCACTGTGCCCCTTTCTATGCCTTATCTTCACGAACGCTAGGTACTATTCACTGAGAGTGTGCAGTCCCAACATACCATGCTAGGTCGTCACCAGGTACCCACGCTTGTCGTAGTAGGCGACCAAAATGGACTGGGTGTTCAGGCTCGGTGACTTGATTGCTTGTTATCGTAGCCGTACTGTGTAGATCCACTCGCATGACATCTATCACTGGATTGTCTGGTCCAAATCATAATGATACATCCGTGATGGGCCTTGAATGTTGCTGACTTAGCAATTTCACTGACTCACTTCGATTGTCTCATAAAGGTGTTACAGGGCGCGAATCCCACTTGACGGGCCATCATCGGGTAAGCACGCCTCAGGTACAACGGAAAGCTGGTGGATTTCAGAGCATTTAATGCAAGGTATATTTCGAAATTCACAAATGTGTTTGTACCAATTTAAAAGACTTAACTGGCATAATAAATCACTACACATGTTCGTGAAAGAACAAAAAGAATTATTTCAAGAGTTTATTTGCAGGAAATACAATGATGTTCTGTTTTGTTTCTGTTTTTCCCGTGCAAACATGCAATTCATTAATTCATTAATACATTGTGATACCTTTTGACTGAGGTTTAGCGCCGAGCCGCCCATGTGCTTGTGTCCGTGTCCGTGTTGTCTCTGCCCCAACACTCAAGGGAGGTAACTCTTCTGCCTCAAAGCAAACAGCGCATACCGCACAAAATAAACATACACTTAGATTTCGAACAACACACATGCCGCCAACACCACGGAGTCTTCTAATGGTTACGTTTCAACACACATAAATGGTCATTACATAACAATAACAATTGAGGCTTGAATCCTAAACAACATGGTGACCGTAACATTAACGACATTAAACACAGCGACAACATTGAGCGGGGATACGGACAACACTCACCAGCAACGTCAGATTAACTATGGTCATATGGAAATATCACGTGTTCTTCTTGAACTCCTTGAATGTAGTATAGTTCACGTTGGGTAAAACAATTCTTGTCCAAACCCAACGTTTTAAGGCGTCCACTGTGATGCATTGTCCCTGGAGGTAGTGATTTACGATATCCCAACAACTATCAAGTATACCTTTCGATAAAAATATATATAAAAATATATAAAAATATAAATAAATAATTACCTTTCGATTAAACTAAATATAACAATACATTCTTATGGCACAACAAACAGAGTTACATGAATCCGACTAAACATTCTGATGAAAATAATGCATTTCAGTTGTCATATCGTGGATAACTTGGAGAAGAATAACAAATTGTAAACAATCTGAGATTACGGATTGTTTGGTCTGTGATAAGGAATTTTGTAGGCCTCGATTCCCTGCTTTCATTCACGAGGGCAAGATAATCATTCCTACATCACAAGTTTCGAAAGAGGTAGTCTGTACACTTATATCTCAGGTTTCGAAAACAAGCTACGACAGCCTACGATTTCCTCGTGATAACTTTACGATTATTGTTGAGCTCAGATCGTTCAGTAAGTCTAAGCCCTAGTTCTCTAATTTAGAAGTAGCTCAAAGACTAGAACGACGACGCGAAGTTTAATTTCAAAGAAAGCCAATGAAAAAAAGAAGAAATGAAGAACGTCAGCCTTTGGGTAAATGAAAATTAGTTATCAATTTATGACGTCATATTTAAAGATGCAACAATGTCCAACGTGACGTCATATCGCTTCAAGTGACAATCAGCTTTTGGAATCGGCAGAATGAGCAAATATACGAAAGATATTCCACGGGAATTACCATGATGGCTAATACAGACTAAGTTCCTCATGCACAATCCACGACGAGGGTTCAAGTTGTGTAAGTGTAGGTCCACTTGCTGGCTCCCATCCTGGCTGTGTATTCCTGGTCGAACCTCTCATTCTGGGCCACAGTGAACCAGTTCTTCCAGTCTCCCACTTCACCTGTAAAATAGTATCCTACATGTATCTACCAATATATACAGCACCCAGTCCGACATACACTCGGTTCTGCACTGTGCCGTTTCACAAATGTTGTATGATCCCCAGAGAGTTGAGATTGATAATATGATGTGCTGTTTGAGTTTGACATCCAATCATCGAGGGAAAATCAAAGCACCTTTGAGCAGTTGAGCTGGATTTCGGCGCCATACAAATGTTAGTCTGATAATATGTTTTTTTAAATCTTCAATATAATATAATGGTTATGTTCAGTTTTCGGAATGCTTGCCACAAGAGGCGACTAATGAGATCGGGTTGTCAGGCTCGCAGACTTGGTTGACACATGTCATCGGTTCCCAATTGCGCAGATGCTGTTGATCACTGGACTGGTTGGTCCAGATGGAGTGAGGATGAGTTCAATGGTCCACTCAGCAATATTCCAGCTATATGGCGATATATTTACAGACCGCCGCCATATAGCTGTAATATTGCTGAGTGTGGCGTAAAATCTAAACTCACTCACTCACTCAGTTAACGGAACGCATGATGAGCGTCACCTGACACTGGAGTGGTCGGTCGTGTATTCGGCAGGATACAAAGCAGGATACAACAAGAAAGAATGTTAATCACCTTCACCAAAACCTTTTCTATATCACATGAAATGCTATGTAACAGAATAACGATTCATAAATAAGCGACGAGATCGAGAGTTTACGGAGAACAGTTTATCAGGAATAATCGATGACATCGATGGTATATAGTGAAGGATGATAGGTATATATGCACATGGAAAAGTATCGCAACATCTATGATTTTAACACCGACGTAACGTCATTTGAATTCATTTCATAATTATGTTTGTATGATTATGTTAACCTATCAACACCATACATGGAATTTTAGAGATGCACGTGCTGCGTTTTCTATAATATTGAAGTACAATGCGTGAAGCCCATTTCTGGTGTCCCCCGAAGTGATAGTGCTGGAATATTTCTAAAAGTGACATAAAACCCAACTCACTCACTATAAGAATGAAACTGAATCGCAGGACTCTTTGAGGAATATTTTAGACAGTGGGTGTCACAAAACATGATTCCGATTTCAGGATCTGATGTACAAATGCATTGACACGTGTGTGAGGAGTCATGTTTTGTCTTTACTCAATCTCCAAGTTAGTGTTGATGTAACGTGCATACTGTTCTGTAAACTGTTTGCAATATCTAAAGCAGTAGCTGCTTAGCTTCACGTCTCTACGTGACTGACATAGGTGCCAAGTTTCTGTACACCCTGGCCATAGGACGGACATGCGCAGTACTGCATAAGACTGTATCGTATGCTCATGTGTGTGTGTATTTATGTGCGTGTGAGAGAGAGCGTGTGTGTGTGAGAGCGTTAGTATCAGTGTGTGTGTGTGTGTGTGTGTGTGTGTGTGTGTGTGTGTGTGTGTGTGTGTGTGTGTGTGTGTGTGTGTGTGTGTGTGTGTGTGTGTGTGTGTGTGTGATATTGGGCCGAGCCGAGCCGAGCCGAGCCTCAACGCATCGCTCTATAATCTCCTTTCTAGCTTATTCAGCATTATGAATGCTACTGACTTCAGGTTCACCAGTGTTTGCGCGCGCATGCATGTGTGTGTCCGTGCGTGTGTCTGATAAATTCGATTCAATGGATAAGGCCCAAAGTGAATTCAACTTGAAGAATGTGATAGTATTGCTTGATTTGTAGAAACATTTCAGGCTACGTGGGAAGTATTGAGGACGTTGAGCCAACGTTGGGCCAAAGTTTCTTTGCCGACGTTGGGCCAACGTTGAAACAATTTTGGACCAACGATGTTAGCCAACGTTGGCCTAACGTCAGCACGTCGGCCAAAACGACACGTCGGAATGCTATCTGGATCATTTATGTGACGGAGCTACGATATATTTCAGACTACTTCACCTTTTCTGAAAATCCCTGTACCGTTCTTCCATTCCCCTCTCAACTTCTCTCCCTTGAAGTCGCTGTAGGCTTGGCGGAGCTTGTTGAACCCACACGCTTCCGCGATTTCCGCGCATGTCTTGTCACTGACGTCACGACCCAGGAACGAGGCTATACATTTAACACTCTTGACAGGGTCCTGAAAACATTTCAAGTGATAACTGAAAGCACCATCTCAGAGCGACAGATGAAGACAATCCGTGCCACACCATTACGACTTAATACCTCCCTACATGGTACCACTATACTATACTTGTATGTTGTATTGGTACCACGCCACGTGGTATACAGGACAAGCACTTGTTTGTTTGTTGTTTAACGCCGCACAACAATATCTCAGCTATATGGCGGCGATATGTAAATAATCGAAAATGGACCAGACAATCCAGTGATTAACAGAAAGAGCGTCGATCTACGCGATTGGGATACGATGACATGTAGTTCCCGTTAGTCGCCTTTTACGACAAGCATGGGTTACTGAAGAGCAATTCTAACCCGGATCTTCACGGGAGACAAGCATGGGTTGCTGAAGACCAATTCTAACCCGGATCTTCACGGGAGACAAGCATGGGTTACTGAAGAGCAATTCTAACCAGGGTCTTTACGGGAGACAAGCATGGGTTGCTGAAGACCAATTTTAACCCGGATCTTCACGGGGCTTTTGATCAGGAAACCCATCATAAGTTGGTTGCGATAGTATTAATACATGCTGATCATTTTGCTGATCATGGCGATTCCACATTGGAAGCTGCTGTCCAGGTTAACAAGGCTTCCCTCCAGTACTGACCTAGTTTCCCACCTGTATCTTGTAGCTATTCAGAAATCAATGGGTCTAACGGTTGATATTCTGATGTGTGGTGATCGCGATCGACACGAAGTTGCTGATGAAGTATTAAGGAATATCTGCGTAATTCAAGATTCGGTTGACATTTTGATAACTAATGTCTGAACACTCGTGGCAGGGACATTAAGTTCATGTATATACTGTACGGTACTGTACCCTTTTCATATCTTCATAATGGACGTGATGCACGTTCATCTCTGGGTGCGCCTCCAGCTCATTCTGCCATTCCAGTTCAAAGTCGAACCACGAGTTGTAGGGCACTGGAAAGTTTACATTCTCGAGTGAGTGAGTACGTGAGTGAATGAGTGGTTTTGTATCGCTACATGTCGACATACTGTGGTAGAAGAGCCCTAAATTATCCGGATTTAGATGCTCACCACATTGTTGAAACCTATAAACACGGGAATGTTGTTGACAAACCAAAACACATATATCAGAATCTGGGATTCGAACCCAAGACTGCAGGAATCTGGCAACGACGCCTCAGACATTAGAACGGGACCATATTACAGAGAATGTGCGGGTCACGGCTTCAACAGTGGTATTGAGGTAGACTAATAGTTCAAGCTTTCACTCGTCACGCCGAACAGCTTGATTCAAACGGAGGGACTCATTTCTGGTGTTTCTCGACGCGATGGTGGTTGAATTTTCTGAGGCGGCGTAAAACGCTAATTACTCACTCATTCACCCAACCATGTTTAGGTGTGCGAATTGTAGCATGTACACCGAACATCTTTTTCCAGAATATTCAAAATTAAAATTTACACTTATTTAAGACAAATCCCGAAGGCATTATTTAAGCTGTTGACATTTTTGTCTTGTGTATTACCGTTCCCGCTCAGCCACATGTCGAAGTAGTCGTCCCACTTGCCGTCGTACATGGCCATGGACTTTGTCCCCGTGTACATTCCGTAAGTTGACACGACCACGTCCTTAGGGTTCCGATGAACCATAATAACTTTCGTTCCCTTCTTGAGCACCTGTTGAGGGAAATACCGGAAGCGGAAGTGAGTACTCAGAACCCTGGGAGACGTCATGGAGTCCAGATCCTCCTTCTTCGTTATATCCAGAACAAACACTGGCATTCTTTCTTTGTGGTACTCCGCTGTTTGGGTTACAAGCATATGTGTCACCTCCCATGTCCAGTGTGTTCCTACAACAAGGGAGGCAAGAGTGAGTGAGTGATGTAGGTTTAACCCAATACATCGATAGTTCGATCGTTTCAGCCCTAGTTTGGACCAGATAATTACGTTCACGATACGATGACACATGTGTCAACCAACTCAGCGAGCCTGACCACCCGATCCGCTAAGTCGCCTCTATGGGTTGCTGAAGACCACATCGGATCTACATGGTTGTGTCACAATGTCCAAAAAAGAGCTGGGGAAAAACCCCGAAAAATCTATAAACCTAGTCTGGACGAACCCGGTTGTGGAATTCGAGTATGGGATTCGAACCCCCGATTTTACAAGTCAAAGGGACGGAACTCTTGAAAGTGAACTGTGGGGCTCAGACGAAATGGACCTTGGGACCAAAAGGTGAACTAGAGAGTGAGTTGGGATTTAACGCCATTGAACAATATTCCCTGGCATTAAGGAATGTCAGATTAATGTAAAAAGAAGGCCGGGGGTGATTAGCTGTTAAACCTAACAGAGCAAAGGGAAACAACTGAGTACTCCTCGGTATCAGGCCACTAAAATCGTTGCCCTCTGTAAGGCTTCAGGGGAATTACAATCATTGGAAACAATTCTGTGTTTTGATCGTTTTATCCTTCAAAGAGCGCAACTCATCACAAGAAACTGTCGCTTAACTTAAATAACTATTTTATCATTCTGGGTTTACAAAAAAAATAAATTAGGAAACAAATGTACCTGGTTTGCGAATTTGAACTTGTCAATTGTAAATAAGACACTACTTTTTACAGTTTGGAACCGACCGCTTCAGCGTATAAATAAGATGTAAAAAATCGGGTGTTAAAACCTTGGAGCTAACATTACTTGCAGGCTCTTTCAGTGTTGTCAAAACCCCTAGTGTGCAGTACACAACCCTGTGCACTTAATAGAACCCACTCATCCGACGGTAGGTGACCAGATGGTGGACAAACGAACACGTGCAGACACCTAGTTGCGGGTATAGTAACGTGCAGTATCAATGGACAAAATACTATGACGACGTGTCCCAGTTCACCAAGCTGCACTCGTCACTATATGACTGGAATAATGCCGATGTGACCAACTCAACTCAACTCAACTCAACTCACCCAGCTGCAAATGGGTACCTTGTGAGGATGAGGCTGTGTGATAACTCGCTGCGCCTGAGTTGAATACTCCCCAGGGAGTTGAGTTGGTGAATAAAATAACAGAAAAAAATGACATGCGTTGATCAAGGGAGCACTCAAGCGCCTTGAGCATGTACTAGTTGCGTGGATATGTGCGCTGTATAAATATCCTATCATCATCACATCTAATTGTCAGGGTAGAATGACGAAGGCTTAGAATGTATACATGTTAATTCATTGATGTTATGCAACAAAGGTATCACAAAATGAAAACCTGTTACCTACTAGATACCAATCACGAAGTCGTGTTTTGTGCTTTCATCACTGGAGTGTTTGATGTTCATTGTTTCGTTGGTTTGTTTATCTTTGTTTGATATTGTTTGATCCTGCATGGGTATATGCAGTCTTTCCATTTAGTTAGACTAGTTAGACTGCTATGGATAGACAACTTCTTTATTTCAATAGATGCGACGTTTCGGTGTAGATGCTAACACTTTTATCAATCAGCATTTGCTTGTTCATCTTCATTCAAGAGAATACTGGGAGACAAATGATCCTACAATCCGTACAGATATGCCTTTTAGGACGACACAGTAAAGCGTTTTTCGTTGTAGAAGATAGTTTCTACCATTTAGTGAGTGAGTGGGTTTAGTTTTACGCTGCACTTAGCAATATTCCTGCTATATGGCGGCGGTCTGAAAATAATCGAGTCTGGACCAGACAACCCGGTGATCGATCTAGGCATGAGCATCGATCTAGGCAACTGGGATACGATGACAAATGTCAACCAAGTAAGCGAGCCTGACCACCCGATCCCGTTAATTGCCTCTTACGACATGCATGGGCTGCTGAAGACCAATTCTAACCCGGATATTCACGGATTTTCTACCATTTAGAATTAGAAACCAGACTTTGTCAAGAATAGAACACACTCAGGCATTACTGTGTGTAAAACAACGCTTGTGGTTACAGAGGTATCCTAAACAGTTTTCTGACTCAACAAAACCTTGAATAAACGGAGTTTATATAATACGCAGTGAAACAAAACATAACCTTGTCTAACCTAGGCTGTTATTACAGTATAATACCTTTTGGACAGATATCTTTCTTATCGACCGGTGTCCACTTAAAGAGGAGATACGCCTCACGTAAACTAGGATAGTGGTGATCCGTAGTTTCTATGCTCCTCATTTAAACCTGGCCCCCTGTCCCATATACTTGCTTGCAACATCGGTACGTAACTATTTCAACATATTTCACTCATCTTCCTTATTTAACATAACACTCCATCAGGTAACATGCACAATCATACACAATTCCACTACCTGTGACCAAAAGATTGGCCCGCCTGTTGAGTTTAACAGTGATCGTAATCAATATTAAAGAATCCCCTTCTTACTATACAGTGATGTTTTTGTACAATCGTACACAGCGCACATGTCAAGCGAGTTATCCTACTTGAGATACTCCTAAGGCGACATTGCGATTTGGCAACACATTTCTATTAACTGACAATAGATGGAATCAATCTCATATCCCCCTCCTCGTTGGTGTATATCATTTACTGCTGATAGATCATAATTACCCCAAATAGCCACCCCGTAGACAAAAGCTGATCATTTTATCGTACAATTTGGAAAAAGGTTTAAAAGCACACCCGCCAATGGTCTTGGAAAGTCTTGCAACCCCGTAAGCGAATAGGTGCTCATCCAGGTAAAATATGTTGTCCACTGGTCTCCATGGGGACTCGTGCTGATGTACCCTCTAGGTTCCCCGAGTCTTACCCACGTCACATGAAGATCCGTGGGACAACGAAGTTATCTTAATTAATTATCAGGTATGTTTTACCTGACTTAGGGTAGGATAACACGAACACGTCGTCCTCTCTGACCTCCAGGTCCCGGATGTCGTGGCACTGTTTCTCCGACGTGACGTCGATGGGTTTTGGCGGGAACAGAAGGCCGTCAAAACGCTCGACCTTGATCTTCTCGCCGCCCTTGTCCGTACAGTCGAGCCACGTGCAGGACATTGTCCTCTGTCACAAGGGAGACAACTCTGGAAGAACAGTAAATACGTGAGGCCTCCTATATAGCTACAGACCACAGCCAGCTGTGCTCCAGCAATAACACAGCTGTGTAATAAATAAGTGATGATGACAGATGGAAGAATGGTAAATTCATACACATGTATATTTATGAAGGATTATTAACTCAGTTATTCACTGATGGCATGACGTACGAGAACATAAAAGGGTGAACTTCAGTCTATTTCTCGGTAATGGACGTAGATATATTAACCAGTGCGCATACTGTGTAAATCAGTTACGTTTTCATCTCCATAAACAGTAAAACGCAAAATTCAGTAAATTCATATGAGTGAGTGTGTGAGTATGGTTTTACGCCGCTTTTAGCAATTTTCAAGCAACATCACGGCGGAGAACACCAGAAATATGCTTCACACATTGTACCCATGTAGGAAATCGAACTTGGGTCCTCAGCGTGTCGAGCGGACGCATTAACCACATGGCTACCCCACCGCCCTACATTCTTATAATAAAAAAACACGTCACGACTATCAAAAAAACTAAATGTAAACAATATCATATCAAACCCACTGCCGCTCGCTCTCTTATCTACAATATAGAGACAGTAGTGGTTGTGACAGGTTTTTCTCAGTTTTTTGGGCAACATAAACGTACCACCAAAGGGCCCAACTAAAACCCCACAACATTTGCTTACGTTAACCCTTCGAATTCCACCCAGTCACTTGTAATTTATATCCTTAGCCTTTTCGAAAAGAGCCTTATATCTGACATATTGTAAAATTAACATAGTGTGTACGGCAATCTGGTTGAAAATTGTTGTAAACTGAACTTCCCAGAATTCCCTTCGTTAACCTAGAACGGCACCACCTTACACCACACATTCAAGTCAACATTATTTTATGTTTATAACCTCTTTCAGTTTTGTAAAGGCTGATGGCCATTCATGAAATGGTTCATGTGTATGGTCAACATATTACACGTGAAAAACTCTCACTTATATCCTTTTACAAAAAGAACACGAGCGCCTTCACTGGTGTCTCATTTTAGCATAGCCCCGTTTGTCATGTGATATGTAAATTAGCGTGCGACAATAATGTGTAATGCGTAGTCATCACTGCATCATGCGAATGAATTTGGGATTTAACCTACGACCAGCGCATCCTGGTGTCAGTAGGGGGCGCAACTCAGGGGCGGGACTTCAGTGAATAACGTGTCAGTTAGGTAATCTAACAGTGAGCCTGGTGATACTCAGAGATCCTAAGGGTATATAGTGGAACTTTTGAATTTTCTCAAATTATAAATATTTATATAACTATTGATACAAACAAATTTGGAGCAATGTACTAAAAACTTCATGAAGATCGATATTGTCAGTTTGAAGATTATTTTTATGTAAGTTTCATCAGGTCTAATCTTTACAGATAGCTTTCTTTCCCTTTCCTATACTAAATAAGGGGCGGTATGGGTAGCCTTGTGGTTGAAGTCCGGGGTTCAAACCTATACACAGATGGGGTGTGGCCTCCTTGTTCGATCGTCACGTCCAATACCCCTCATGGGTACAAAGTGTAAAGCCCATTTCTGGTGTCTCCCGCCGTGATATTACTGGATTAGTGATAATAGTGGCACAACATCATACTCACTCACTCACTCCAATAAATAAAGGGGGAATAACCTAGTTGTTATAGCGTTCGCTCGTCACGCCGAAAAACATGAAGTCTTACCATTGTGGGAATACTGCTAAAGGAGAGCTAAAACCGTCCTCTCATAGACTATCAGCTTATAGTGTGTAAAGGCTGTCTGTATGCATTCGACCTTCGCGAGAACAGACCCCGTTCTGTACAAAATGAATGTATATGGGCAAGCACAGCCATAATATCTCCTTTGACCTGAAATCTTAATGTCAGTTTTGTGGCCCCTTGTTCGTGTATGGTGGTATGCGCTGTGCCTGATTACTCCTCCGTCAACCCGAAGTAGGTCAGCAGCATGGTTGGTGAAGGTTGCTATGTCTAGAATGCTCTCACATCTGACAACATGAGCAAGAGAGGCGCAATCACTGAGATACACACCGCCCGCTCTGACTTACCTTCGTGTGGGACTTTGTATATCTGGTTCTAAAGCTCAACGAGCTCGGTTACCCAGATAACATAGGGTGTTTCAAAAGTATGAGAGTTGAAAAGATACGAAACGAGATTCCAGCCAAGGCTATTGATCGACTGGGTTGTAATCAATAATACACAGGTTACCTCCCTTTGTTCTCGTCTTGACGACAAATTCAACTTGTTTAAGACGTATTGGAATGGAAATCGTCAAGCAGAGAATTTCTGTGACCATGGAAATGGTTTTGCCGTTTATATTAACAGTTATATTTCATCCGCTGAAAGTGATATGTCTGAAATAGTGGACTAAGTGGATCAGTAGGTCCCTGATTCGCCCGCATGTCACCCTCTGCTGGCACGCTGTTCTGTGAGTGTCGCAATGGTGTTAAGTGAGTGAGTGAGTTAAGTTTTACGCCGATATTCCAGCAATATCACGGCGGGGTACACCAGAAATGGGCTTCACACATTGTACCCATAATGCATGTGCGGAATCGAACCCAGGTCTTCGACGTGACGACCGAACGATTTAACCATTAGGCTATCCCATTGTGCCTTACAGCGGCGTTAATGTTACTAAACGCTTACAAAACATCCACCCCCGACTAAACCACGCCCTAATCCCCACCCTAAGCTATGTTGATTAGAAGAGGGAGTGCTGCAGCCATCAATTTTCGCGACACCTCAAAATTGTTGGCATGGTGACACACATCTTCTACTTCCTTTAGATCACCCCGTTCCTCTTCAATCAGCGGATAATTTAAGACAGACATGAGGTTGTTTTGACCACGGAACCTCTTCGAGTAGAGTAAATATACTCCTCGAAAGAAGTTAATTACTCGATTTGTTTATATAGCTAAAGCTAATCTATCATGGTGTAGCAGATCCATCATAGGAGTATAGAATAACTGGATGTTATTTTACTTTGTTCAGTAGTATAATATGACGTCACGACGGCTACTGTGAGAAGCTGTCTTTCATAACAATTGTCATTGTTTGTGGAAAGGACGTGTAACAATTGAACCACTTTAGGCCTGCCTATTATGATTGCTTTGCTGTTGGTGTTTTAGAGAGAAATTCATCTGTATTTCCAAGCGATCAATTTAACAAGGTACGCTGACGCAACTCTACACCATAAATCTGAAACCATAAATTATGTATGAACCATAAACGTTGTTTGAGTCGGAGATATCGTGCCAATCAGTCATGGCTTGCGATTAAACATATTTTGATGCCAAGAATCCCCGACCATTAGGTTCAAATTATGGGAAATATCAAAATATGATCATTGATGAAAACATTTAGAATCGTGTAGATTTGGGGAGTTCTGTTACTTTTTCTCATTGTATGACGTCAGAGTGTTATGACGTCGCATCTACGACCTGCAGATGTATACGCATCTGGATAAAGTTGTAGGCTGCTGAAGGCCCCCTTGGTCTAACTGATGGCGACAGCGTCTACTCGGATAGGGGAAGGTGGTTGCGATCGACTGGTCGTGTCACACCAGAAAATGGAACTTGTTGTTACCGTGGAATGCGCTCGGCGTTGAGGGGATTAAACAAGGACTGATCGGTTCAGAGTAGCCACACTTTGGAATATCGATGTTAATCTGCGGCATGATATTGTATCGTAATGAATATTGCTTTTCACTTGTACCCGTGAAAATCCGGGTTAGAATTTGTCTTTAGCAAGCTATGCATGTCGTGAAAAGTGACTAACAGGATCGGGTGGTCAGACTCACTGACTTGGTTGCCACGTGTCATTGTATCCCAGTTGTGTAGATTGATGCTCATGCTGTTGATCACTGGATTGTCTGGTCCAGAATCGATTATTTTCAAACTGCCGCTATATAGCTCGAACATTGAAACCAACCAACCAACTATTCACGTGTAAGAGCAGACACGTGCAGACACACATGCTCGCCGCCATGCAACTACACTTATCCTGAACACAACGTTAAACTCCATTTCACCTCACTCCATAGAAACACACGTTATGGAAACATGACTAGGCTGTTAAACCATGATGTAGCTTAACACTAATTTAAGCTTCTGTTACCTGCAGCATTGTTGTAGCCTCATGCTTAAGTCCGGTAAATGTCACTCTTTTGAAGTACAGTAGGATTTGTTCATTTCAGTGTCTAAAGAGTGATTTTTAGCTTTGATGTGAAGAGTGTCCCTCTGCCCTTAAAGGTTAGCGTAGTCACAATAACAAAATACCGGGTCGACCGAGGTTATCAGTCGATGAAGACAATGCCTCGCTACAAGGGATTATGGCACCCACTTTTCTCGCTTTACTGTTATTAGGATATCATAACTTCCTACATGATCACATAGAAGATGGCGGTGGACATCGGTTTGCTGACTTGGGTCTCCCTGACATTCCTGAGGTAAGTTTGTAAACTGAGTTTGGATATCATCGAAACACTACAATGTATCGCACTGTTGATGCTTATCGACATGGAATCGTCAGCACCGTTCTGTAACCGAGTAATCGTTTCAGGCAATGTAATTATATCACTGTAGTCGAATAATTAAAGACATTATCATGTAAATATTTCACTCTTGCTTGTTAATGGTATAAGAGTCTATACCGAAACGTCTCATCATTTATAATAAAGAAGTTATTATCCATAAAGTATCTTACTTTTTTATGTAAATATTTGTTACTCCGGTCGTCTGGAATGACGGATAACTCAGTATTACCACCAATTCGGGTCACCACCGATTCACTTTATTTATTATATACCAAAATCTAGGATATTTTATATGTATAGGACAACAAATATTTGTCCGATGTTTGAAACAGTTTGTGAAGAACATTCGACAACATCAAGCAGCTGGACTTGGTACACTACGATATTGGGTATAAACAGTCCGAATGAATAATTGCCTTCAATTTCTCAAAGACCTAACATCGTCACTTGACATGAGATTAGTACCGTGGAATCAATAGCATGTATGACAAGCATGCAAGTTAGTGAGTTTAGTTTTACGCCGCTTTTAACAATATTCCAACAATATCACGACTGGGGACACCAGAAACGGGCATCACTCATAGCACCCGTGTGGGTATCGAACCTGGGTCTTCGGTATAACGAGCGAACAATTTAACCACTAGGCCACCCCACTGCTCCCACATGCAATGAGACCACAACAATATTAAATATTCATATCGTTGATACCTGAGCAGGGTCCGTTGAATGTAAATTAGTAGTGTAATGTTTTTATTATACAGACTCACGAAATATACATAAGGTAACTGGCCCGTTTCTGGTGTCCCCCGCCGTGATATTGCTGGAATATTGCTAAAAGCGGCGTAAAACCAAACTCACTCACTCACTCACTCACTCACCACTTAAGGTAACTGACCGGTTCTGGTGTCCCCCGCCGTGATATTGCTGGAATATTGCTAAAAGCGGCGTAAAACCAAACTCACTCACTCACTCACTCACTTAAGGTAACAGGGTAATGTGTAACTGAAAGGCAACTCGATTATCCTCTCGACTGTTTTAGATAAACCTCGACAATGGATGAAGCGAAGCCACATGTGTAAAGTTCAAACTTACTTTGGGCACCTTTTCTAAGTCTTCACTATGTCATCTGTTAACACGAGCCTAGGTGATCTTTAGAAATGTGCAGTCATTTTCGACATCGAATGTCTTCAGCACATTGTGGAGATGCCTGTCACTCTTGCCTTAGAGATACGAGTAAATGAATTTTAGATTTGTTATTGGTAATAGAAGTTTTGTCACTAACACCTAAAGTTTTTACATATAATACTTTTATTGTAACATAATGACAACAGCAAATACAACTGTAACGATGATAATTATATCACACAAAACATAAATTTACATCTTGCGTTCACAATGCCGAAGAGATTGCTACTCCAATTCTCGCCAAAGACCCGGGTTCGTTCTACACATGGGTACAATGTATGAAGCCCATTTCTGGAGCGCCCTCACTCACTTTAAAACACCATGTCCGTAACGAGAAACAACACAACGACTGACCTCCAGCATCAATGATATATAAAATACAACTGCACATCGGCTGTCAATGAACGTGATCGCATTTCTTACAGACATTTACACTGTGTGCTGACAACGCTGAGCTCGCTCTAAGGAGTGATACAGTTTAGCGATATAAGCTTGTAAGCAGATAGATTGTCGTTCTTTGTAGATATAGTTTCCGAGTAACGGTTTAATTGGCGCGTCGTATTTGATGTACGGTATTTCAGCTCGGTGCTAATGATGAACAGAACACACAAAGCAGTGTATATCTGGGTTTACACTGTATAAAGTAATTGTCAATTTATGGCTGAGGGAAAAAGTGGTTATCCTTTAGTCTGACCACAGTAAACACTAAGCATCTCTGATGTCTCAAAGCTATGCAGTAAACTGTTCAGTCTCAAGAGGAACATGCAGAGACAAAGATGTCGTATAACATTGTATTCCTTTTGGGGATATTTATGTGTTTTTCGATATTCGACATAAGAACTGAAATAACCATCAGTACAGCGGATTATATTCGAGCAGTGGTGAGTCCTTTCAATCTGACAGTAATATTGTACATGGATCAATTTACTGACCCTAAATCGGGTGGTCAGGTTCGCTGACTTCGTTGACACATGTCATCGTATCCCAACTGCGTAGATCAATGCTCATGCTGTTGATCACTGTATTGTCTGGTTTAGACTGGGATATTTACGGACCGCCACAACATTGCTGTGTGCGTTGTCAACAATAAAAGATACAAAAACTATTGTGTCGCTGAAGAGAGCAGCTGTTCAACGTTCGAATATATTCCTGTCAGTAAATACGGTTTTTCCTTTTTTTTCATTCCCCAAGAACTACCTCTATCGCTATGGTTACCTGATGACACGGTTTCCCTGGCTTCCTGGCTCTTTCTCCAATGCAATCGAAGAGTTTCAGCGACGGGCATATCTCCCTCCTACTGGTAAGGAATTTATATTCTGTTACTAATATTACTGTTACTAATAACGGTAAAACGACTCAAACATGGCACTTTCTGACATTTGCACTTTAATTAATCTCAAAGCCGACTG